CACAGATCTGTTTGCTCTTTTGGCAGCCCATGGTTCTTTCAATATTCTCCTCCAACACCATCACTCAAATGCATCAGTTCTTCTATGGTCTTCCTTATTCACTGTTCAACTTTCCCAGGCATATGAGATTATTGAAAATACCATGACTTGGGTCAGGTGTACCTTAGTCCTCAAGCTTAATCATAAGCACATAGCCTCTCTCCCTCTCTGGGTCTAGAGTCCCCAGCCGCTCCATCTCTCCATGTCATCATCTCTGCCTTCATTGTCTGTTTCTCTGGGTAGGGTCTCACACTCCACTCTTCTCCCTTGATGGTCCCAGGGACTTCCATTCCTGGACTGCAAAGTCAACTACTCCCCTTTTTTGCTACAAAACATCTGCCTTTACATTTCCAACCCTCACAGTCAGTCCTGATAACAATTATTCACTATTGTACCACAAGAGTCCTAGCCCCATCTCCTTTCATCATCCCTGCCCCGGCAGATTGGATACTACTCAATGGAGATTCTACTTCCTCCACGCCCTCTGGATTTAGGCTACCTCTTGAAAGCTTATGAGCCAGTCACTTCTTGCCTGTGTAGGCCCCCCCCCCCCATTTTGGGTAGCCAATGTTCAAGTTGCCTATCCCTGTCTACCCTGTGTATAGAGGGGGTGGGAATGATCCTCGCTATAAAGATTTGTTCCTTCTTTTGAGCTACTGCATCCATAGGTGTAGGTCAATTTCATCAAATTGTATCAGATTAATCTTTTTTCCCCTCTTCGTTCTTCTTCTAGTTGAGTTCTGATCATCCAGCCATTGAAGCCAGGTCAAATGGGTATTATCTGCAAGTGTGGGTATTCTCTTGCGTATACCCTCTCTTATCAGCTGGATGCTTCATTCTCCACTTTAGTCCTCTGTGGCTATATCACTGACTCTGGACCCAAGAGTCCCCAGGTCTTGCCACACTGCTGGCCAACCAGGTCTCCACCTGGGTTCACAGGAGTCTATTGAACGTGATAGGACTTAGCTCGCAGCTTCATTGCTGTTTGTCCCCTCACTTCCCCTTATTGGTGACCACATTGGTCACATGTCAGAGCACATGTCTGCTCGTGTATTCCTATTGGTGTGTTCCTATTGAGTCTTCGTCTTGGAAGGGGGTTTGCCGTGAGGGGACCCAACCACTTGCCTTGATGTCTCCTGGGCGAGCAACTTGCTTGTTCTTGTAGTAGTCTGTTGGACTGCCATTATTGTTTATTATTTTTCCTGTCAGTCTTTCTTTCAAGAAGTATCTTCTGTTCTTCTAGCCACTCCAGGCTGGTTTGCTTGTCCTTTCCTGTGGAAATTTTCCACCTCAAAGATTCTGGATAGGGTTCAGAATTCCACTTATGGTCTTATGCAATGCAGAGGCTCCACAGGAAGCCTCCTTCACTGGAAAAGTTGTAGCCCATTTTAGGTATCCCAATCAGTTATAGGCTGAAGACAGACTTACAGACTTTCTATGGTGATATTTACAGCTATTCCTTTCTCTCCCCCTCACCTGTCTATTTTACAGTGGTATGCAAGGGAAACCAATATTCAAAAGACAGCCAAGCATCTTAACATTATTTCCCCCCTTTTGCCCATTCATACCATTCCTCAAGGAGCTCTGGTAATGTAGTGGTTACGAATCAGGCTGTGAACCGCAAGGTCAGCAGTTTGAAACTACCAACTGTTCCGCGGGAGAAAGATGAGGCTTTCTGCTCTCGTAAAGATTTACAGCCTTGGAAACCCAGTACAAGGGTCACTTGTACTCCAAGTCGGAACCGACTCCACGGCACATAACAACAACAACACCATGCCTCAATCTCTGTATTCCAGAGACCTGTTGTTCCATTGTTGTGCATACATCGTTATTTACCTCTGTCCCACTTAGCCCATACAAACCTGTTTTCTCATCCGCTTTGTTCTTCCTTTCACCTCTCCCTTATTGTGTATTGCCCCACTCCCAAGCACCCAAACTGCCCTACGTCTATTCCCTACCCTGTGTTCCACCTTCCCCACCCACTCCTCACCCCATCCCCCACATCCCGGTAACCAGTGAAGAATCCCGCCCCTCCCCCCCTTTAGTATGGGTTATTTTCTTAGTCTTTTACAATAGTGGTCCTATGCAGTATTTCTCCTTTTGTGACTGACTAATTTCACTCACCATAATGTCCTTAAGGTTCATCCATGTTAGGTAGTGACATGCAGCTTCCTTGTTATTTTTCAAGGTAGCATAATATTCCATTGTGTGTATATACCAGTTTGTTTATCCATTCTTTAGTTGATGGGCACTTTGGCTGCCTCCATCTTTTTGCTATTGTAAATAGTGCTGCTGTGAACATTGATGTGCATATATCTACTCATGTTATGGCTCATATTTCTTGTGGGTAAATACCAAGAAGAGGAATTGCTGGACATAAGGTATTTCTATTTTCAATCTTCTGAGGAAGCATCATATTGCTTTCCAGAGTGGTTGGACCATTTTGCAATCCCACCAGCAATGCAGGAGCGTCCCAGTCTCTCCACATCTTCACCTGCATTTATCGTCCTCTACTTTTTTGATCTTTGCTGTTATTGCTGGTGTGAGATGATATCTCATTGTTGTTTTGATTTGCATCTCTCTAATGGCTAGTGATCGTGAACATTTCTTCATATGTTTGTTGGCTGCCCAGATCTCCTCCTTGTTGAAGTGACTGTTCATGTCCTGTGCCCATTTTTAATTGGGCTATTTGTCTTTTTCTTATAGAGATGTTGTAGTTTCCTGTATATTTTATAAATTAGTCCCTTGTCTGATGTGTGGTTGCTATTCTGTGGGTTCCCTTTTTACTCTTTTGGTGAAGTCTTTGGATGCACATAACTTTTTAGTTTTTAGTATGTCCCAATCACCTATTTTGTCTATTTTTGTTTGTGTAGTTTTCAAAATGTTTAGTAGTCTGTGTATTGCCTAAATTAGAGCCCTCACATTTGTCCCTGTTTTTCATTGATGGCCTTCATAATTCTGTGATTCACATTTAGGTCTGAATCCATGCTGAGTTGGTTTTTGTATAAGGTGTGAGGTAAAGGTCTTGTTTCAGTCTTTTGCATATCGCTTTCCAGTTCTGCCAGCACCATCTGTTGAAGAAACTATCACCTCCCCATGTGATATATTTAGGTATTTTGTCAAAAATCAGTTGACTGTATATGGATGGGTTAATTTCTGGATTCTCGATTCTGTTCCATTGATCTATGTATCTATCATTGTACCAGTACCAAGCTGTTTTGACCACTGTAGCCATGTAATAAATTTTGAAATTTGGGAGTGAGAGGTTTCCAACCTTATTCTTCTTAAGCAGCACTTTGCTTATCAAATGGGAGGACTCAATTTTTAACAGTAGGTAGAATATAAAAGAGTAACTATTTAAATGAAATAACAATTTTTTGTGATCATCTTGTGATCTGTCATCCAATTTCTTTCCTAAATGTCCCCAACATTACAACTTTCTGCTACTTACTCTGATTGCAGCCAGTGTTCATTAGCTGATGTCTCACGGAGCATCACTGATGGAAGATTATATCTTATAATTTCTTCCATTAGAAATTGAATATCTAATTCAAAGATATTTTTTAAATAAGACTCCATTCCTGTATGAATTTGCCCAAATATTAGTAGTCAGCTTCCTTGCCAGGAGATGAAATAGGGAATGAGTATCAACTGTCCTATTGTAACACGTTAAAAGTCAATGGCTCCGCTTTCTAGTAATATAGTAGTTCTCATGGCGTGTGAAAACCTGCAGCTGTTTTCAGAAATTGTAGAGCTCTGGCTGGTTTATAGATGCCATAACAGTGTCTTGAAGTGACAGTAAGAAGTTGAACCAACTGGGTTGTGTATGAGGACGGCTTGGGCTCTAGGAGGTATGTGAAGTAACTGGAGAGACGGGAATTGTGACTAACTTACATATGACAATCTCTGGTACCTGACTCATGCCAGAACATCAGCATGAGCTATGGATGTTTATATGTCTTCCTAGGATAATAAAGAAATAGTAAGAAATACTATTGAGTGGTAACCCTGATTTCCCTTGCCAAAAAAAGAAATGATTGTTTTGTCATTAGTTTTACCATTCTGGAAGAACCTTGATAATAGTGAATTGGACTCTAAATTGAAAACATAAGTGCTAACTTTGTGCATCATAGAATCTTCAGATACTAAATGCTTTATCATAATGATATAGAGCATAGGACAGTTTTAAAAAGGGAATTAATACCAGTATGACTAAAAATGGCCTAAGTTATAACCATTAAAATAGTGTAAGTTGTAAGTTATTATCTTGGAAATGCTTTCTGTGTAAAAGGTGTGGAAAGGAATGCCATTGAGCCAGGTATGTTTACAAAGTACTGAAAGTCTTTGTATAAAGAGTACATGACGTATTGCGTGGCAGGCAGTATCACAGCACTGTACATTGGTTGGGGGGTGGGGTATGTTTCTTTGTCTTGTTCTTTTTGCTGACAGTGTACAAATTACCTATTATTTTCAAATTATTTGAGAAAAAGCTCAGACTCTCCTGTTTGCATACACTATCATCATACCATTTATCTGGAGAACTGAAATCTAGGAGCAAATAGATAAAAATCCACCTTGTAGCTTTTTGCTTGGTGAATTGGAGTTGGTCTTCCAAATAGTCCCAGGCAGCCTGAGCTTGAGGTGGAAGGTGACTATAGATGTGTAGGGTTCCATGAATTTGATACGTTGTCACTTTACATAGGGAAGGGGCAGTGTCTGCCACAGAGGAAACCCCTTACCAGAAAAAAAAAAAAAAGTCCATTATTTCTTCTTTATTTTGTTGCCGCAAGTTTGATGACTATCGATTTTGAATAATTGAGATGTAATCAGCTCAGTGGAATTTAACAACAACAACTACAAATTGTTGTTTTCCAAATCTGCTTATACATAATGAAAAAATAAAGCCTAATGTAATATACACTTGGTGACTAATTTTTCCTCCTCTTTAATTTTTCTTTTAGGACTCAGCCTAAAACTATGTTTGCCCAAGTTGAATCTGATGATGAGGAAGCAAAGAATGAGCCAGAATGGAAAAAACGTAAAATTTGAAGAATCCCACTTGAGAGCTGTTTGCATGAGTGGGAGGATTTTGGGACAGTTATGTGTGTGTGTGTGTTTAAGATGCTTGCAAAGTAAAAGGAATTTTTTTAATTAACAGTTTTTTGTCCTGCGTATTATTAAACCACTCAAAAGATTGGTAGCTACCCTCCACTAAAATTGTGCTTACATTTTCTTACCTATGATTAGTAAGCTTTATTACAAGTAAACAAGAAACAGATTCTTAGCCTATTACCAAGTACTTTAGGTATTTAGAAACTTTATTCAACAATTATTGGTCTTGTAACAATAACATGATGGGGGAAAATGAACTGAGATATACATCTGTCTTGAGCAATTCTAGGGAATGTAATATGGAAATAGACATCAAAAGTTTAATATTTCTGTATAATTTCACAGCAGTTGTTTACATGACTGTAAATAATTAGACTGAGTTCAAACTAAAAGCATTGCCATACTAACAAAGAACATGTATCTAATTATGCCTCCACAACAGAATATAGCAGTTAGAACAGACTTTGCAGTCAGACAAAGATGGGTTCAAATCCCATCTCTGCCTTTTAGTTTATGAGTCTCACTGAGTTCTTTAACTTTTTTCTTCAAGCCTGAGATGATAATTAGATGGTATCAGATGATAACAGTACCTACTTCATAAGTGCTATTCATAATGTTTCAAAAATTCAACTATTCTGGTGCTGACAGTGTTCCACTGCTATTTGTAAGGTTTTCAGTGGCTAAGCATTCCGAAGCAGTCTGCCTCTACTTCTTCCTAGTCTGTCTTAGTCTGGAAGCTCAGCTGAAACCTGTCCACCATGGGTGACCCTGCCAGCATTCATAATACCAGTGGCATACTTTTCAGCATCACAGCAACACACAAGCTACCACAGTGCGACAAACTGACAGATGAGTGGTGGAATTGAAGGAATACAAATTTAAATCTTTCAACAAACTGATGCAGCACTGGAGGCCCTCACTCATCTATGCTAAGAAATTTGTACGACCTGACCAACTGACTGGAAGAGAACTGTATTTGTGTCCATTCCAAAGAAGTGACCCAACAGCTGCAACAATACATTGACAGGGAACTGCCAGAGGTTCAAGGTGGATTCAGAAGAAGACATGGAACAAGGGACATCATTGCTGATATCAGATGGATCTTGGCTGAAAGCAGAAAATACCAGAAAGATGTTTGTTTACCTGTGCTTTATTGACTACGCAAAGACTTTTGACTATGTGGAGCATGACAAGTTGTGGAGAACATTGTGAAGAAAGAGTATTCCTGAACACTTGAGTGTGCTCATGAGAAACCTGTACATAGACCAAGAGGCAGTTGTTCAAACAGAACAAGGGAACACCGAATTTTAAACACTAGTTTAAAATTAGGAAAGGTGTGTGCCAGGATTGTATTCTTTCACCATACTTATTCAGTATACATGCTGAGCACATAAGGTAAGAAGCTGGATTATATGAAGAACATGGCATCAGGATTGAAGTAAGACCTGCAATATGCAAATGATCCAACCTTGCTTGTTGAAAGCGAAGAAGACTTAGAATATTTACTGATGAAGATCATAGACCATAGTCTTCAGTATGAGTGCATTGCAGCTCAATGCAAAGAAAACAGAAATCCTCACCACTGGAGCAATAAATAACATCATAATACGTAGAGAAAAGATTGCAGTTGTCAAAGACTTCATTTTGCTTGAATTTACCAACAATACTCGTGGAAGCAGCAGTTAAGAAATCAAATGATGTACTGCATTAGGGAAATCTGCTGCACAAGACCTCTTTAAAGTGTTCAATAGCAAAGATGCCAGTTTGAGGACTAAAGTACACCTGACCCAAACCATGATAGTTTCAGTTCCTTCAGATGCATGTGAAAGTTGGACGATGGATAAGGAAGACTGTAGAATTGATGCTTTTGAGTTATAGTATTAGAGAAGAATAGTTAAAATACCTGGACTGCCAGAAGAGCAAACAAATCTGTGTTGGGAGAAGTACAACCAGAATGCTCCTTAGAAGCCAAGATGGCCCAACTTTGTCTTTCATGTTTCGGACATGTTATCAGGAGTCCTGTTGTGGTGCTGTCAGAGAATGCACAGGACCACAAGATTGGCAGTTCAAACTCAGCAGCTGCTCCTTGAAAACCCTATGCAGGGTCACTATGAGTCGGAATCTACTTGACAGTACTTAGCAACAATCAGGAGGGAGCAGTCGCTGGAGAAGGACATTTTCCTTGGTAAAGTGGACCCTCAGTGAAAAAGAGGGAGACCCCCAGTGAGATAGATTGGCACAGTGGCAGCAGCAGTGGGCCAAAGCATAAAGATTGTGAGGATGGCACTGGACCAGGGCTGTTTCGTTCTGCTGTGCCTACGGTCACTGTGAGTCGGGTCTGACTGGAAGGTACCTAACAACAACAATAGCAATTTAAGTGTGCTGTGAGGATAAAATGAGGCACTTGTAAAGCAGTTAGTGAATGTACCTCACACACTAAATAGTTGCTATTTTAAAGTGTGGCTAATAATATCCTTGCCTGGTTTTTATCAGGATTAAATTAGAAAGATGTAGAAATGCTTTGTAAATGTACAGAGCTATGTAAGTAGAAGGCATTAAAAACCACTCCAAATGGGCCTTGTGTTTTTCTAACTAGAAAACTAAAACAGAAGTTGGCAGTTTATCCAAAGTAATAATGAGTCAAGAGAATAAAATGTTGTGGACTGATTTCACATTGACATGAGTAGTGTTTGCATGTTAAATAGTTCCCACTAATTTATGTCTTTTTGTGTTCTTGTCTTCTGCCCTTCTCTCATTTGTCCTAGTAAATTAAAAATTATAAAAAATGAATGATGATATAAAAAGTATGTGGAAAAGATCCTGGATTTACAGGCTTTATGTACCAAAAAAAAAAAAACCACCAAAAAACTTCTTTTACCACTCACAAAATCTTTCATTTGCAGATTTTGAAATCACAATGACCATCTTGCATAGGTGATAGTAGGAACTTCTCTCGTACACCATATTTTCTGTCTTTTTTCCTCATGCTCCTGTCTCCACCTCAGTCTCCTAACATTGGGACTGTCAACTTGCTTATGATTCATAGTGACCTTATGTACAACAGAACAAAACACTGCCCGGCCCTGTACTGTTTTCACAATGTTGTGTTTGAGTTTACTGTTGTTGTCTTTATGTCAGTCCATCTTGTTGAGGGTCTTCCTCGTTTACACTGACCTGTAATGGGTAACAGATAACATTTGCTAAGTGCCTAATATATGACACGTATGATTTTAAGATCTTGTATCAGCTTATTTTATCTTCAAATTTCTATGAGCTGATAAAATTGGTAAACCCATTTTACAGATGAGGCAAAAGAAGTATCAAATGTCAAGCAATCTGTGTGAGGACACAGGTAGGTAGGGCTGTATGAAGACTCCCCCTAAGATCTCTAAACATCAGTAATTAGTAAACTCCCCCCTGTTTCCTCTTCCTATTGAAATATACTTTATCCAAAATCAATTACAGACAAATATTTTGTCCCAGCTGCTTGTGATTTGTAAATTTATTGCTTCTTGGATAAAATTTACTGAAAGCATCTCACATTTTTCCCCATCTTAACATAAACATTGCACCATATGGAAGTGTTCGTCTTGCACAGCCAAAAATTGCAATGGAGAGGGAAGGAATAAGAACTGGATCCTAGTGGTCTTGGCGGAGTCTGCTATGATGTAAGAGGAGAGAAAGACAAACTTAGCACGGAGATGATTTTCTCATTGTTACCCACCACACAAGTGGACTTTTTCATGTTTGAAATGGTTTTTCTCACTTTAGAGATTTTTATGACAATTTTTTTTTTTAAGTTTTTATTGTGAGGTTTACATGGGAGAACATCAGCTTTACACTCATCCTAGTGTATTTCATTTCATTGCAATGATTACAATCCCATCCATGCATCCTCAAATAACCACAAAGGGTACAGCACACAGGCCTGCGTCCTGGCCTCTCCCTTCCTGAGTCCAGTTTTCCCATCCACTACATCTGTCTATGTCATCATCTCTGTCTCCATCCTGGTGTCACTGCCTCTCTGGGTAGGGTCCCGCTCTCCGTTCTTCACACTTGTTGGTCCCAGGGACCTCTGCTCCAGGGCTGTAAAATCAATCACTCTCCTCCTTTTATATGACAATTTTTGAGGCTGGGTACACTACTTAACCATAGGAGTTTTAATCTTGATTTTGGTGAAGGAGAACTTCTGAACCAGGACTAGACAAATAGTGGGTATTCATTTAACACACAGACTCAGAATTAAGTAGACATCATCCTCACATTCCTTCTGCCCTGAAGCCTCATTGTCTTTCCCCATGCAACCTCATATTTCCTCTCTTGATCAGCTGCATTTTTAATCTTTCAAATAAGGAACCTAGGAGTCACAATGACGATGATTCTTCCCTTAATCCCACTTGAACCCAATTAATCAGTTGCCAATTTTGGCCCATGTTAGCTTCTAAATCTCTCATATTTTCTCTTCCTCATTACTACTGCCTCTGTTAGAATTTGTTGTTGTTCTTAGGTGTTATCAAGTCAGTGCCGACTCATAGCAACCTTATGTACAGCAGGATAAAACACTGCCTGAACCTGGGCCAACCTCACTGCTGTTGTCATGCTTGAGCCCATTGATGCTGCCACTTTGCCAGTCCATCTTGCTGGGGGTCTTCCTCTTTTTCTCTGACCCTCCACCTTACCAAACATGATATCCTTCTCCAGTGACTGATCCTGCTGAGCAATATGTCCGAAGTATGAGAGACGAAGTTTGGCCATCTTGGCCTCTAAGGAGCACTCTGGCTGCACTTCTTCCAACACAGATCTGTTGGTTCTATGGGCAGCCCATGGCACTTTCAATATTCTCCTCCAACACCATAAATCAAAAGCATCAATTCTTCTACGGTCTTCCTTATTTACTGTCCAACTTTCACATGCATATGAGGTTATTGAAAATACAA